CATTCCTTTAGTGGCGAAATTGTCATCGTTATCGTCTATGTTGATGATATTGTGCTCATTAGTAATGATATGTGAGCCTTAATCTCTTAAAGGCTTAAAGGCATCCTCACCACATTCTTTGAAATGAAGGACTTAAAGTCTCTCAGATACTTCTTAGGCATGAAGGTTGCCCAGTCATCTCAGGATATTTTCCTTTATGAGCGCAAATATCCAACCTTTTACTTTCCAAACCATTGAATGTTCCAATGATTCTCAATGAGAAATTGGCTGATGTTCCCAATGCTGTTTCTGTAAACAAAATACACTACCAGCGTCTTGTGGGGAAACTCATTTATCTCACCCATATACACCTCTATATTTGCCATGCGGTAGATATTGTAAGTCGGTTCATGCATGACCCCTATGAGCACCATCTCACAACTGTCCATCAGATGCTCCATCACTTAAAAGGCACACCGACTTAAGGTTTGTTATTCTCGTGCAACACCTCTCGTTTTATTACAGTTTATATTGACGCTGATGTGGCTGGGTCCGTTCATGATTAACGATTTACCTTGGAGTATTGCTCATTTGTGTGTGAAAATTTGGTCAATTGGAAAAGCAAGAAACAGTCGGCGGTTGCCTGAAGCGGTGCAGAAGCTGAGTTTCATTCTATGTTCCTGGGAATTTGTGAGTGCTCTGGTTACAGATCAAGCTCCGCGAATTACGTATGTCGGTCTCTGCTCTTTTACAACTGTTCTGTGATAGTATAGCCACAATTAATATTGCTCATAATCCGTTCCATCATGATTGCACCAAACATGTAGAGAGTGACTGTCACTTCATCAAGGAGAAGCTCAATTTCAGGGAGTTTGTGTAACATTTGTCCCATGCAGTGATCAACTAACAAATATCCTCACAAAAAATCTTCCTCAACCGCTGTTTGACTACTTCAAATAGAAGTTGTAACATGATTCACATCTATGTTTCAACTTAAGGGGGAACATTAGAGAAGTTATTTTATTAGAAGTTATTTCTATTTATTTTTTTTGTCTTTTTTATTATTTCATTCTATATATGTTTCCTAGTTTATGCCTTTTCTTTTTATCTTTTGGGTGCTATTAGGAAGGAACCCCTTGTATCATGTATTTATATCTTTTTTGCTGTTCAATAATGTTATCCTGCTCAATTCTTGAAATTTTACAATTATATATGATATGTATTAGTGAGCTTAGGACTCTTTTATTTGTTTTAAATGGTGAGGCATGTTATTGTTCACGAGTTTGGGTCTTTTAGACTACTATAGCTGTTCCTAACGTATCTTGTTCGGCATACATTTCTTTTTTGGGTTTTTTACATACATGAAACTTCAAATTATAAAAATTACACATTTGAAACTCAAAACTTTAATATTACTAAACAGGAACCCAAAACTATTCATTTTACCTCGTTGGAAATCTGTTTACCTCCGTGCGTTGCCTCCGTCTATCAATCTTCAACAAAACTCCAGCTGCTAGTTGGGAAGGCAACGACTTCAACTTTAGTATTACTAAATCCATCACAATCTTAACCTCCTTTCTCCCTATTTTACTTTATGCAGTTGTTGAAGTTGTCCGTGAGATAATGATGTAGTCGGAGAATGATAGATGACTAAAGCTTGAAAGATTTGAATTGAGGTGTTGGT